CCAGCGACTATCGACCCTCTACAAATGCGTCTGAGTAGGTACGTCTTGCTCCTTTTGGGGGCTCATACAGAACTTGGACGTTCACAGTAATTTTCAACTGAGGTTATAGGTAGGAGAGACCTGCCGTCTTACACCAGGCCCTGGCATATATTGCCCCACTCATAATTGACAACGAACCTCCAAGTGATCAGCCGCACCACCACAGTAAACAGGGCCCCACAACATGTATTTTCATGTAGTTTAAGAAAATGAAGCCTCAAGTTTTCTCAAAATCCCCACAAGTCACCGCAATTCCTTCAGCAGCTCATCAATACGCGCTTGGCTTCCAAACCCAGTGACTTATTGGCAGTTAGCAGGGAGGGAAAGAAAGGAGAACTAAGTTCTAAGTTCGGTTGAAATACACCCCATGAAAACAGCTAGCAGATGTCTCGGGTTCTCGGCAGATAATGGAATGTAAGGTCGAGTATAAAGGGGTGATATGCAGCCACTACTTCAGGGATCCCGTCTTCCCTCCCCGGCTAACAACCAGTCAGGTAAAGTGTGCGAATGGGTTTCCTCGAGATCCAAATTCTTCCAAGACCGTGCAGTCTTTTGAGGGTCCCCAAAACAGCTCAATCCCCAAGCCCTAAGCCCCTAAACGAGAAAGTCATACGTAGCAAAGCCCAAGAGGGAGCCAGCAAACCGCCTGGCTCTTTGAGCGCGCAGCTGAATCACAGAATGAAGGGTTTATCTTTTAACGCTTTAGGTTTCCGTGCTCAAAGTTTACGTTGAGTTCAAGGGCTCAGCGTCTAGGGCAAAAACATGGGGTGCTTGTTCTTGAAGGGTATGTAACAACATTCTACACTTCGGATGAGGGACTTAGAATTCTTATCTAGAAGCTTGAGTAGTTACCAATGCTGGAGCACATGGCATACAAAGTACAACATGAATTGGAGACTGAGATTATATAGGGTGGAATAAAGAAACAGATGAAAACAATCAACCACGGACAAGGAATCAAAACTGGGAATACATAGTCGTTCATAGGGACTGTGTAGTGTAAAAGCCTAAATAATCATGAACAGTGTGCCTTAGCAATCCACAAATACTCGCAGTAGAAGATACACCCAAGGCTAATTCGCATTATGTCAGCCCTAAAGTACTTGGGCACCTGCAGCTTTGATTCCAGTACTCCCGTGTAGTTGGAAAGCATGTTCAATGGGCACTACTCTCATAAAGACAATTCCCTCTACCATTTTAGGAGATTATAAGAAGGATGCTGCAAATACTAGTTTGCAGCAGAGGGAGCTTCAGTTGTGGTACAGGATAGTTGGCATGAAAAACGAGGAGCAGGTCACTGAAGTATCTTGAATCATCATGACTGACTCTACTCGCAGCACCTCGACCCCTAGACCCTACCTGCAGAGCCAACTTCCTGAAAATGATGGGCCATTTGAACCCAATTTGGGAGAGTACATCATGGCATCTTGTTGTTGGACTTCCAGGTACATCCTACAACTTCGTTTCTGGTCCCGACTAGCTGCTGGCACCCCAGGAGCTCCGGAAAAAAAGAGCCCAAAGCGACTCTGAGCGCCAAGGATTGAGGGCATCACCTATCACTGATATCCCGAAATGTTTTAGTTTCTGTTTCTGCTCAGTAGAATTCCAACTAGCAGCTACAATTAATGCTCCGGGAGTTTCCAGACTAACACCTTTCCGCAAGATGGGTGTCTTTTCTGAAACTTGGTAGCCCCCAAGGGACCTCAGGAACATAGATGGACCATAAGGAGACTAGAGAAACTCACCTCGAGGATTGCTCGGGGATCATTTTATTCTGGTCAGTTCCATATCAAGACATTTGCGCCTTCAAAGGCAGTTGGGGCATTGCAAGGAATATGATATGGCTAATGATATCTATAAACTATAAGTGAGAAGCTAGCAATCAATTCCCCTACGGTTTGGTAGCATTCTCTTTTTATAAAGTATGCTACCCAAGCGAGTACTATATTCTGGTCATGGGCATCCCTAGCGTAGAGCAAGAGCTAACCATGGGGGGATACTTTCTCAATCCCTGACAGGGTTGTCCGTTGGCTGCATTCTTCTCGACGGCGGTTGCGCAGAGGAAAAAACCTTCGCAGGGGTTGATGGGAACCCTGCAAGAGCACTGTCTAAGAGGGCACGAGCCTTTGCAGGACCGTTTTTGAAGTTCAACATGGGTTTTTCTTGAGTTGAGAAAGCCATTCATCCCCAAGCTCCCCCAGGATGAGAAAGCCTTTGTTCTTTGGTGGGACGGAAGGCCCTGGCCTTGTGGATCTGGATTCGGCTTCATGGTTCTTGTTTTTTGAGTAGGCACCCTTCAATTTGAAATGGAACCCCATACCCGCACTTGAGAAATAAGAATTCCCATGTTGGTTTGGGGCAGGGTAGTTTCTGAAACTGATGGGCCACAAATCGTATAATTCATGCAGAATATTTGATGTTCTTCCACGTGTGCACCTGTCCAAGCAGACTGTCGTGTAATCTTCAACGGCTTCCTCAGAATTATGTTTTGTACTTATTGCATGGGACGGAAGACGATTACAAACAGGCCATGCAGCATTATCAACGCAGTCAAGCAAGCACTGGTGGTGAGTGAATCTTATTGAAAAGACGTCTTCCGACTGCTGAACTTACATGATCTCCAGGCTGCCCAGCCAAACGGCAAGCAGCACAAAACTTCCAATCATTTGTTGGATGGGAGGTGTTGCAACCGGACGAGTCCCACGGGAATCTGGCGTGTGCCACAGGAATCCTACAGCAACAGTTACAAACGGGACTCTGTCAGAATGATCCGTAAAACATCGTTAGGAGGGACCTCTAAATTCCGTGGCATATGCTTAGGGTCCGCTCGAGACTTATTTGAGCAACCCTCAAATCGTGCTTTTGGTTCCCCCAGTGGCAAAAGCTTTGGTGTTTAGCATCATATTGTACAGGTAGCAGAGGCAGTATTCAAAGGGTATGTAGTGCACGGGGTCACATCGGGATGTTCGTAGGGCTCCACTTCAAATTCGGGTCAAGTAGCTGAGGCATGACGAGGGATGTGCATGGGAGCAAAATTCCATTCCATTTTCCTGTACAGCTCATTTGAGGAGTTTTGACGACACTCACGTGCCGCATCTTTACGACCCTGGCCTCATGTTTGGAGGGAAATGTGCGGGAACTGGAGATCAGCTCCAAATCCAGTCGAGTTGGAACACTGCGCGCTCCTAGTATAACCCCCCATCCGCTGATAATGAAGCCTCCCCGATTGTATGATCTAGCATATTGGGAACGTGTTTGGTTATGGGCGTGTCGGGCTTCATTATTCGTGGAGTGATTTGGAGTGTTGACCACAGCTTTTTCCCCCCTTCGCAGACCGCAACTTCTGGAACGCTATTTTCGACTTCACGGGCAAAGCCACTGGTGCGAACTGGTGCCGAGCATATTGGGGGAAGGGATGGATTAGGGGTCTACAGGCTTTTAAGTCCGATGCTGCCCCGGCCCCGCAATGGTCCACCAATCTTGCAATTGAAGTAAAGATTTCAGCCGCAAAAAGGGCGTGATGTATGACTGTTGTCATAGCGCAGGGGCAGGGAAGAGAGGAAAGGCAGTGGCATCGCACCTACCATTTAAGGGTTTGATACCGGGGTTACATCCAACGGTAAGGGAGCTCTGCAGTTGCAAGTTGTCAAGGGCTATGAGCTGGGATAAGTACAAGTCTGGGCTGGGAGTTACATTGTTGAGGGCCCCTCCCATGCTGAGGTTCAACCACCATGGCTGGATGTTTTCTAAAACGGGTTCAAAATCACTGCTCAGCGGCCGGATTATACAATGGACCCAAAAAGAGACCACAATTTTTACGACCTACCGTCAGGTAAAGGGATGCCAAACCCCGAAGCCACCCTTTCGTTCTGGTTCTGAGCTTGCAGGCGCATTCTGCCCCTGGGCGAGTGCTGTGAGTTGGACGTTCGCACCGAGGAGTCGACAGGCCAGTTTTGATTTCATAGGACATGCCAGCTTTTACAGCTCGATGCCCTTAATCCATCACTCTAACACCACTTGCCACATGGGCTAGGATGATGAATGCCGCAGTGTTGAAGTGTTTGGGCTCCCTGGGTTTAGGCTCAACCCCACATCCTCTCTCTTTAGTCGTTGGGCTTCAAAGATTGGCGGCCTCTTCAAGCCATGAGCACAGCGCTTGCGAGGGTTGTCTTCTGAAGCAGGTCAAATCTCAAACCCCGCACGCTGACCTGTGTAGCTTTACCCGGCCAGCTGCATACTTGCAGCCAATATTATTCCTTTTGATCCTTATAGAACTCGAATGCAATTCCTTCCCAAACGTCTACTCGAACCATGGCAGACCCCAGCCTGACCTCGTCGCTTCTCACTAAAGATCATGCGGCAGAATCACGGTCTACAACGTAGTTCACCTCCTCAGCACGGGGCTCTAGGACTGCATCACCAGGTTGAACCGAGAAAACTTACGAATGGGATGCTTCTGAATCGTTCAGAAGCATCCCATTAGTAAGTTTTCTGGCCTAGGATTTAGGCCGTAGGAGTTAGAGCTTAGGAGCTAGGGCTTAGGATTTAGGTTTTAGGCTTTAGGGTAAGTTTAGGAGCTAGGGTTTAGGAGTTAGGGCCTGGGATGGAGGAAGAGGGGCGCCTGCAACCTAAGATTTTCAGGTCAAGGTTTGGAGCCTTCTGAAGTACACAGCTATGCGTGTTTCAGTTGACATGATGCAGCAAGTGCGCGCCTTCTCAACCGGGTTCTCGCACTCAGGCTCCTTGTTCCATGCGGTAGCTTCCAATCCAAAATCAGGGTCCCTTCTTTGCACCGCAGTGGATACTGCGCATATGCTGCATTATAACCAAGATGACAAAAAAGGAATATGGATAAGAATTTCAGAATCAACCGATAAAAACAAGAAAAACCAGCGGCCGGATAGATTCGTGGTATGATCTTTGCAGAATCTTCAGACTTCTTGCACCCCAAGTTCTGTGCCATGGAGCCATCCCCAGTGGATAATTTGCCGACGCGCTTCGTGAAGAACCAGACGGGCACGGAAGGATTGAAATTCGAGCGCCCGCGTAGTGTCCGCCTTTCTAGAGCTTAGGATTTCACATGGAGTTTATGGGGACGACAGCAAGAAGACTGGGGGCTCAGGATTGGAGCTGGGATCTCAGAAGGAGTTTCTGTGATTGATTTGGACGGTAAGGGGCGTAGGGATGATGATAACCTCTGGAATTCATTCGGTGGTTTGTGCAGGGATCCCAGCGGGGTTGAAGAGGAAGAGGTGTCAGGATCTATAGCAGCTCATAGTGGATTTGCACGAACTTCAGTCTTGAGCCGGCATAGGTCAACTTGATTACGGAAGGGCACTAGATGTTCCTTCATGGAATCCCCAGGATCAGCGTAGATCATTTGGGGCAGTAGGGAAACCTCCCCATTACCAGAAACCTTCATATAATGCTGATTCTTCATTCTGCCTCAGGCCGGCAGATAAGACAGCTGCTCGTCTTGCGACCAGGTCGTTTTGTTGAGAAAGGCTTGACCAAAAACTCTCGAACAAAAACCTGAAACCTGAGCCTGGACTTCCGATGGTTTGGAAGGCTTTGTGTGGAGCTTTAAGATGGATATCCGCGTGTTTATATCTATATATATATATATCTGTGTGTGTGCGCCGTATATGCCGTATGGCCCCGTTTAGGCTTCTATGATATTCTTGGGGTTGGAAGAACCCAGAAGCCTAAAGCGTAAACCTAGACCCCAAACCCCCATGAAGCATAGTCGTGCAGGCTTCTTGCTTCGCACGGGTGATGCATATCAACTCTTGCGGAGTTCTTGTTGGGGCTGCATTAAAGTATGGATGCAACAGGCGCAGAGATGGCTGAGCTGGATCTAGTAATCTGCAGGGTCCAGTTATTTTCTGTTGCTGGTGCTTAGAGGGACGTGGGGGGAGGGAATGTGAATGCTGTTATATGGGGCTGTTCAGTAGGGTCATTCCCTCACTCCCTTCGTAGCTAGCAAGTTCAAGGCCCCTGTTCGTTTACCGCTAACAGCAGATGGATGCCGACCTGAGTTCTTCCAGCAATCCGCTCTCCTGATAACAACCCCGCACTCCCCCAAAATGAAAGCAGGAATGAATACATGGTATTTTTGCGTCGAATATTGAGGAGATAATCTTAAGGGGAGGGGATCGTCCTGGTGAATCTGGAGGAGAAGCTATTTCATGGGACGCGGTGAAGAAGTTGCGCATCAAGCAGTCTAGCGCCGACAACCCCATCCATTTGCATGAGAAACTTGCTTGCTCAGGGCTTCGTTACTGGTGTGTAGTAGGGAATGTTGAAGAAAGATGCGGATTATCATTGGGCATTAACCTTCTTCATAGGCAGGCTGAGGGGGCTACATGGAAGCCTGAATACTTATTACTGCTCTTCCTCAGACATGCTGTCATAGGAACAGTACAACAATACCCCAGAAGTCCACCTCTACTCGTTCAGACCCCTTCATTATGAGGAAGGCTTTTCGGATACTCATCATTCCATGCTTCGGTAAGTTTAGGCATTTCTTTGACAAATTGCGGGCTCTTCTCTGCTGGTGCCCACTATCTTATAATGTGTTCATCATGGTTTCAATGAATGCAAGTAGAGCTCGTGAAGACAAGTTGCAAGCTTGACAATTTTGTATCTTGGGGAGACCATGAATCTACATACGGCCTTCTCTACATTGGGCGCTATGAAGTCTGCAGTCCTTCTGAGAGTGGCCGGTACTAGAGAGCAAAATCCTGTAACGAAGGCAAATACCCACCCTAAATCACGCTAAGATCCCACACAAGTTTCAGATTGTGTTCCTCGAAAATTACAAGGCATTGAGGCCTTGAGAATTTAGGTTTCCACGTTTGACTGAGGGTGGGGTAAGGGCACATCTATCAAGAGATGGGAAATGTAAGGGCACATCCTCATGAATATATCTCGAGAGGAGGCTGTGAGGGTCTTGAGTAGGAGCCCTATTTAGGTCTTAACGGTTAGGATAGAAGGTTCAGACTTTACGGCACAAAGTTTAGGTTTTCGGGTTGGAATGACTTCGAGCCCCTTATCATATCAGATGATAGTAGATTATAGTAGGTTATGGCAGATTAGAGTGGGCTACAAATAGATTATAGTAGATTGTAGTATAGATAGTAGATGATGGTAGGTTATTGTAAATTATAACAGATAGATATGAGTTGTATCAGGTTATTTCATAGGTTATAGTAGGCTAAGGTAGGTTATAGTAGGTTATATTCAAGTATAGTAGATTATAATAAAGCTCTCCATGCGAGCCTCCAACGACCTATGACATAGCAAACTCGCTCATGCCAACATCCACGTCATCGCTTTTTTCTCGTTATCGGTTTTTGGGCTCCCGGCAACAATCCCTTGACGAAGGATTAGGAGGGGGGTTATTATACAACAGTTATTGACTTGCAATCACGCTTGAAAGCTATTGGAACAGCGACGCCTCTGGCAACGTCGCCTTGAGCACATCTCGAAAACCTGCTTTCAAGAGAACGAATCTTCAACTTCTTTAACTTGTCACTGTTGGATCTCCCGGTTAACTTCATCTTTCGCCACGCCCACCCGAAACTCCAGAACAGCAAAATCTCGTCCTAATTCTGGGGAATACCCCCAAACAGTATTTCGACCCTAAAATCACGATTCTGATTACGAGGTTTATCAGAAAGGGGCTTCCCAACTTTTGGGGCTAGGGCGGGAACGCAAGGATTGAGATCTATGGGTGCGATGGCATCAACTATGCCTTGCCAGAGAACGGAGGCCTGTCCTGACCACTCGTTTGGGCTTCGTTTTGTGGTTAGCCCTTAAATCCTTACACCACAAAGGGTCCCTGGCATATTCGGCAATTGAATGACAAGTCAGCTTGGCTTGAAAAACCACTGCAGCCAAAAACTTGCACCTCGCTTTTGCATTGTAACCACCAAACCCTAAACCCCGTCAAGCCTCAACACTCCAAGCCCTGAGGCCTCGTTTTCATGAACGTTTTGATGAACACTCCCCCAAACAAACATGGGACCTCATAAGACATATGGTGCGGTTTTTAAGGTGGCGTAGTCTTTGTAGGGCGCTTTTGTGGGTTCCATGTTGATGTACAGGGAGTCGAAATCCTAAAATCCTTAAACCCTAAAACCCTTACCCAATGGCCTGTAACTCTGGAACACTAAGCCCTATAAGCTCAAATGTCGATTAAGCCGAGGTACCGCATGCCAATCCTCCATGCACGGCTCAGGCCATGGGGTTAGGGGGAGGTCCGGGAGGTCCCTCAAAGGCATAGGGCTTGGGCCAGGCTTCACAAGGGTCAGTGCTGTTTCAAAATTATGGTTTCGGTGTGTATCTAGCATTCCTGCGGAATAAACGTGAAAGTATAACAGTTTCTTGAAGCTTGGGGTAGTTACTGAGGACTGATATAACGAACCAGAAAAAACAGGACTTGAAAGAATCATGGAAGGAATTAGTCTGGAAATATCACAAAGGTTTACAAGAACGAGTTATAGAGGTTGTGTCGAGATCATGCGGGAGTTAGTTTCTTTGAGGAGACAGGCAAAACAAACCTCCCCACCCCGCTCTTTCTGGGGATTTAGCGGAAGTCCCCGCCTTGAGCACACGCTGCTTATTCCGCAGCATTCTGGCTGGCCGTGCCTGGAAAATTCTATGCTTACAAAACCCAGAGAAGGACCTTACAATCCCAAGTATATCCGAGGTCCCTTGGGGTACTTTTTTTGAAACACCTCCGGCGCCTTTGCTAAGAGGATGTTGGTAATTCCAACCTCCCAAATGAGCGGCCTAAAGTTATCATAGCAGTGTAATCACGTTCAAAAACTTTGGCATGACGAAATTGGGTCCTAATTTTGGCGCGTGGGGAAGCAGAATCCCCCTACCACTGCCCCTTTCAGGTGATGGCTATGGCCCAGCCGAGTTTGTGATTGACGGCCGCCGCAGTGCTTGGGATTCAATGAGGAGCCCAAAATAATAGCATTTAGGGCTTGGGTCTAGGGTCTAAATCATCAGAACAATGGAGATTCAAATAGAAAATCAACTGGAAAATTGGATGGTCGCTGGGTTTCTTTTGGGGTGTAGAGGGAACTGAACGCGGCGAGCTAGATGATTTGAGTACGTTTTCAGGGTAGACACATGAAATAGGTATTGTATTGAAATTGTTAGAAGGATCAGATCTTGGAAAATCACCCATGCACGCGATAGCCATATGAGCTTTTGGCCTGTCAGGGTGTTGTTCATGCATACCTGTTGCAGCAATGGCGAAAATTGTCTGCGTTCTCATCTGAACCACTACTCACGTAGTGTTTGAAAATGCTATTGGTTGAAAACCATATTATAGGAAACTTGACATGACATTCTAACCTTCCCGCACCTCATAGTGTTCTCATCCCACTCCCATAGTTGTTGTCGTGCTGCATGATTGTCTGGTCAACATTAAGGGGATACTTTCTACAGGGTTTAGAAGGCTTGTTTGGATGCCCATGTAAAAGACCTACCTATATGTGCAAAAAAATGTGTATACAAACTTCGTGATGACCAGATCTCAGACCCCTATCTCAGATGGACCAGTGAATCACACGAAGCACGCGGCAAATGGTTGGCTTGAAGTGGAGCTGGCCGCAGCAACTGCAGTGGAGAGCTTCGCGATCTTCAACATGTGCTGGGGACAGCAAATCAGAATATGGGAGTTTGGATGCTGTAAGCTGGCAGAAATTTGGCACTTCTGTTCTCGTCCTTCACATTCCAATGTGCTATGGCGCAAAGGCACAGTCGGCACAGTGGAAAAGTTTAGGTTTCCGTCTTAGTGGTATGAAGAAGTGAGGTTAATAGCGACGCAAGAATGAGGTGAGGAGTGAGCTATTCCCGCACCCAGAAGCTCCAGCACTGCTAAGACTAGGCCCAACTGCGCTTTAGTTGCGAGTGGGGAAAGAGTGTGTGTCAGAGGAATTTCGGAGAAGAAGCAGGGATCCTCATCATCTTCAATTTCTATATTCTGATCAGTCCAGAAAATGTGCTGGTTGATACACACGACTTGCCGGATCAGGTCTGAGGTACATCTCTTCCACCCACGAAGATAAGAAAGAGTTTGATGAAGCACCAAACTGAAAGAAGCGGCACGCCTGAGGTGAGCCTCTAAGCTCTGAACCTTTGCCACACACGCACACACACTCTGTACTGCTTGAACACCAATTTCCCGCCTCTCACTTCATGGTAGATCGTGTAGGCTTCACAAGAGAGCTGTACAAAGAGCAGCAACTCCTCAAGAAGGCGCTCTACGGCTGCTACTGCTGCTACTATTACTATTACTATTACTACTACTATTACTACTACTACTACTGCTACTACTACTACTACTACTGTTACCTTTGAATTGTTGCTAGTGGTTGTGAGAAAAACCCATGTGGCCGAGGAGCGATGATGAGTACGACCATCGCGTCCGACTCAACGGCCACACCGTGGAACTGTTGGACGAAGCGTGGCATTCGCAAGTAAAGCCAAAGCCTTGCAGATATGGAAGCCTGTTTGATACGGCTTGCTTTCAAGTAATTGGGCGTGGCTTCGTTTCCAGATCTTGCGGTAAGGGTGACAGTACGGCGAGGGCATGGGCATGCGTCAAAGGCATCCTTCTGAAACCCCTCAGGATACCCCTATTTTGCGAAACCCGCGCAAAGTATTCAGATCGTTTGAAAGCAGCCAAAGCATGGCATACACTTGGATAGAGCCTCATGTCTCAGCATAAACCACAAGGCCGAGCCTGAGCAGGCTTGTGATGTGATAGTGAATACAGAAGTTTCCTTAGAGGTGTTACTTAGCTTCGTATGACTGATAGGTGTCTTTCATTATTCATTGCTTCTATGTGGACTTAACAGTATGGCCTATCCTGAATCAAGCTGTTGAACATCCGCATGAATTGGCGAGGAATCTGACCAAATCGTGTACCAACAGCAGATTACCATGGAGGATGCGGTGTTGCGAAGGGCCTGCCACAACATGACTAACAAACTCATAGAAGCCCGCAGGCGAAGCATGGGGGTTATTGGGAGGAAGTATTTTGTCCCGATAGGCATCACAAATCAACCCACATTCCCTCAAAATCCCCAAATGGCGGGGAGGAGGATGGCGCTTTGTTTGACAGAAAGAAGGGCTGCAAGCAGCTGTGGGCCACTGAGATCTGCAGTAGCAATTGGCCATGGTGGAAGCATGTATAGCTGGACAATGATTTTCTCGTGAAAGCCGTATAGTACACAGTATAGTAAAACATAACATGGTAGTATAGTGTAATAATCGTATAAAATAGTCGTGTGTAGTGTAGTATGGTTTAGTACGGCTCAGGGCTTCTGATCTTTGCTCCCAAGTAGTCCTTGGACCCCATATAGCCACTTAGAGGAGCAGTAGTCCTTCTGTTGGGTCGGGGATTTAGGGATTTGGGAATTCAGGGTTCGGTTTAGCATTTAAGGTTAGGCTTATGACTACGAACTTAGCACTTAGTGTTGAGGGTGCCTCAAGGTTGAGCGTCCACGGGTTTTGAGATTAATGCCTTGAGGTAGGATCCAGGGCATAGCCATTCTTACCATGGAAAATGGCACGGCAATCGGGCGAATACTCTCGGGTAGTGACCTCCCCACCTTCTGCCAAACTCACAGGGAACCCACGTGGTCCTCTTTTGAAATCACTGTAATCAGAAAGTGGACGTTTCAAAGTTTAAGCTTAGGGTTTGCCGTGCATACATATACTCTGAAGCTTATCGTGCTTTGCGTGGATTTTTCAAACCAACCTCTGCACAACCCCTCAACAGCCCCACCGCTAATCCTCATTTAACTCTCATGCGTACCCAGGGTTGTCGCAACACGTGCCAACATTGCAGTTGGTTGGGAGCCTGTGCACGAAGCATCCTTTTTCAAAGAAAGCTTGTCTTTTAGATCTCAGCAAAGGAAATCTGTGGGCCTTCAAGTACAACTCCAAATAGCCTGAAACTGAAAACAAACAAGCTAACCCAGGTGAACGAAGATGCCAAGTCCGTTGTCGCGAACTTGAGCATTGAGAAGGGTGTGTTGGGTTGCTCGAATGCTTTGAGAAGCGCATTTCGGAGTAGCTCACTGCAGTCGCGCACAAAGTGGAAATACAAACCGGATTGAAGTTGGTTGTACAGTACAAATAGAGAACTCATCTGCATTTCTGTCTCCATTAACAAATCCACACAGCTCCATTGATATCTCAGTTAGGAACCCAACATATAGAGTGGGGACTGACATCTCAACAGGGCGTGAATTACTTGGCTTGCGGAATTCCTTTCTGTTTATCAACGGAAGAACTTCACTCTGGTGTCCAAACGGCAACAAAACCGCTTTACCTTCAACTTCGGACAAGAACAACCCAATGGCGGACAGTATTCAGTCCTTGAGATGATCTCCCTCATCATTCCCGTCATGCGTTTTCTTGAGAGCTCAGGCCACGCCAAAATCATCGCTACCCAGATGAGTGGCACACACATTGCGTCTATCTCCATAGATGCGGAATGGCCGCAGTTCCTTGGCAATGTAAAGGCCTGGTCAACGAATCCACTTTCCTGAATGAGTGATATCACTACATTTGTTTTGGACATCAGTATGTTCTTTGCGCACTCCCGCTTGAATGATGGCGCGTGTCTCTGCGAGGCATTGGTCAGGCTCATTCAAGCAGGCCTCAAGTGAGGAAATGGCAACACAGTCCAACCAGGCAGCAAGGCATTCATTCAAGTTACAACCAGCTTATAGCCTCTAGTCCGTTGTAGCTGCTACTATATCAAACAATTGTCCCATCATACGCTTACCCCATTCTAAATTGACATTGATTTCTCATGAGGGCTCTGAACCCAGCACAGGTTCTCGGCGAACGTGTGCAACAGCATCGCGGAAGCTTCGGAGTCCACTAAGCCAGTACCCTCCCCCAAACAAGCATGGAAGCTGATATTGTCCCTTTTCGAAGGAGGGTAGTCTTTGCAGGGCCCTGGTTGGGTTTCCATCTTAGTTTGGGGGAGTGTGGAGTGAACAGAGCGTATAGGGCTCAGAGAAAAGTACCCCCTTACAGGAGGAACTCATTTTACCAGTCCTTGCGTTCCCCTTTTTTGGCGAGATAGTCTCGCCCCGCTGGGGCTAATCTAAAAATTCAAACAGTTCTTGAAACCTCAAGGTTCGCGACGGAGACGCAGAGATGTGTTAAACCCCAAACCGTAAACCGGAGTCTTATGGAGCCCTTGGGGATGTATGTAGTTTTGCCGGCTTACTTCGGTTTTTTGGATTTCTCATTGAGGCCTATAGAGGGAACTTTAGTGGAACTATCCTTGTCAGTTCAGGGTGCTTCTTTTTGGGGGCAGTGAAGATGAAAAGCATCCCGGATGTTCCGGATTAGTAACTATTTTTACTGTAGCTGCTACCCACATCCAAGCACGAACCCTCGTCCGCCCCCTTAACTGCGTCCGCCGAACACCTAAACTCTTAGCAAGATTTCCAGTAAGGAAGAATCCCAGATTCCAGCCTACAATTTGCGCCTACTTCTGCCGGACGGCCGCCTCTTAAGGCTGCACGACGATGAGGAGATGCCGGGATAGCATAACCTGTTATATTTAAGACATGGTCCACTCTAAGGTCTCAGTTCGTGGCCACGGTAATTTCCGGGGAATTCAAGGGTATGTAGGGACTGTGAGCAGACGTTGGGGGGATCCTGAATGGTGCATGATAAGAAGGCCTTTCGCCTAAACTCCACATGTTTATCATTCTCAAGGCCGAGAACAATAAACCCAACTTGGGTCCTAGGACCTTCCAGCACCTTTCTCAAAAACTGGAAACGAAGGTCGTATCAGGGCTACGAAGTTGAATCATAATGGGATTTCGGTTTTTGTTTAGCGTTGAGGCTTGTGCGCAATTCCGCAGTGTTTCAGGAGCTAGGATCCGCTTCGGAAATCTTGAGCCCAGAGATCTTTTTGGGGTGTGTGTGGGGCCGGTGAGCTGGCCCGTGACGGTGCGAACTCTGAGCTGGCACCTACGCAAGCTTCCGAAACTTCTTGACACGGCCTGCATGCAGAGCTGGACGTCGTATGTAGGTTGCAGATGGATATGTCTGAGGTGCTTTGTGCCTCAGAGGGGTACCCTTGCTACGACTTGCGAAGTCGCCCCGACCTTCCACAGGGCATTAGGGCTTGCTTGTTGAAGGAAGCGCTGGGTCGTACCCATAGAAAGTTTCCCCCACATGCCCCCAGTGTAAACGAATGTGCGGTCCTTGAGTCCTTGAAACAGCCATGGCTCGAGTAATTCAGAATACTAGTTGACAATTGAAATCCTGCATGACCCTAAGTACGCCAAAGCTGGGAAAATTTGGTATCCTAGTATTTTACGGTCACGCAGGAGCTTCAGCCTCAGTATCAACAGTACCCTGGCGCTATCACTGGGTAATCCCTACTGAGCAATCCTCAGAAGAAACGTGTCTATGTTGGGGACATGAATACTAGGGGGGTGCTTAATGTTACAGGGAGACAATCGCTTTGACAGGAGATCCAGCGCAAGAGCCTCGTTGAGTTGCTGCCAGACTTCTTGACTGAGGGAGCCCACCCCAAAGGGGAGGCAGAGTAATACCTTCTTTCGAAGACTTGCCGGCTGTTGGCAGGGAATGAAGGAAAGGAAAAGAACATGGGAAACATTGTATCTTTGAGAATGATTCATCATTCCTCCATTCCGTACTGCAGACGATTATGTACTAGCTCCCTGACAGTGAATAATCCCTGGAACATATTTTATGAATGCTAGACAAAATTACTCTAAGACTCTTGGGGGTGTTTCATATTTGGGAGAAAGGATTACATGGGCGGATCCTAAGGACGCCCAGAGGACTCCAAAGTAAGTGTTTTCTGTTTGGTCTGGCATCTGCTGTAAGTGTAGATGCCTATTAAACAATCGGATGTCATGAGGCACTGTTGCGCGCCACAAACGGTCGCAACTGAACGCTGCTCCTCGACGAAAACGGAAGCTGCGAAGATTGTTACCGGGCCGAAGCTCTTTTAAGAGATAGGGGGATCACAAAAACTATGTCCTCCAAGGAAACACTGGAAGAGATGAAGCAGAGCTTGGACTTCGTGAAGAACCGGGACCCACACCCTGAACGTAATCTGGATCGTTAAAAATGTTAGCCAACATTATTCCCCTCTTTTCTTTGTATATGTAGGGCCTCCGTGGGCTGCTGAACCCCTAAACCCGGAACTCAACTACCCGTTTGGTCATCCCCAGCGAATCAGTACCAGCCAGAACCCATCCCATTTCCCTAAACCCTCAAGCTTGCATTCTATTCAACATGAATGTTGGCTACCAGATTGCGGTTCCACCCTCCATAGCCATTTGCTGCGCCCTCAACGCTAAACCCGCCTTGATATTTCAAGCAGTCTGGAAACAAGATTGAGAGAGCAGTAAGGTAAGGTTAAGGGCCGAATAGCCTTGGGGATTTCAAAGAATCGTCGGCCGGCTCCCTGGCTGGAATAATGATGGCAATACTTCGAGGGAGATTCCGGCAACCATTGGTTCCCGTAGATTTGGTCTACGCTTCTCAAAACAGCGAAAATGGCTAGGCCTTGTTCAGTGTCTATTCTGGGGGAGAAGGTACATTTTACTGGGTTTATGTGAGTTGGATGGCGTGATTTTCCATGTTGTTCAAGATTGCCTATCCGATCTTGCGCGCCCGCCACTTACAAAAACCCTTCACAGAGTGTACACTATGCAAACAGCCGCTTGACAACTTCTCATATGTTTCACTGCACATATCGCAGAACTCAGTTTTCAAACATCAGAGGTCCCTCATGGTGTCTTTACAATACTGAAGCCAAGCTAAAGCCATTTGCCAGTGTTCCACAAACCGTTCTTGGTTACCGCACAACCCCCAAAAAAGATTCTAAGCCTGCCTACAATTATCATCAATCATGTGGGGTTGCACTACGCGCTGGCGATTTGTACTACCAGCTCTGCATTGCCGAACTGAGGGGTTCAAATTCTAACAAGCAAGAACTAGGGAGTTGGTTATTGAAAGATGCCTCTTCCTTTAAAAGGCGCCTGTGAGTTTCCACCTTTGTTGAAGGGAGCGTAGGTGGAGCCATGCAGGTGGATATCAATGTCCAGCTCCTGCATTCAGCTCAACGCCCAGAGTTGCCCATCCAAGAGCTCTGAACGTTGCATGCGTTTCACGGCTTTGGACGTGCTTCCAATGGTCGGTTTAGGGTTGGGCAGGTTCCGAGGGTTTGGCAGATGGTGATGGCAAGAAGGCCAGCACCACGCTGCAGGTGGGAGATGAGGAATGTGAGTTTGGGCTCGATGAGACTAGTATAGGGATGCATTCCCGAAAAGCCGGCCAGAGAACGCAGTAGGGACAGTCCCCAAATTCATATTCACCGCCAGATATCTATTTCCAGACTTCCAAACGCGTCAACGAGAAATCCCGTAGAAAATGTGATGTGTATGTGGGTTGTTGCTAATTACTTACTTTGGGGAAGTGAGCACAGGTACCTTTCTCGCCGTTGATTAGAGGGCTTAAGCTTCAGTACCTAGGCGGCATGACTCACAAGGATCGCTTTCTAGGGTTTAGGGGCTAGGGTTCAGGGCAGGGCCTTTCCAGCCGAAATCCTCGCATCTAGTTTCTGAGGGGGAGAGGGGAGCATCCCAAGAAAGTTTTAGGGGTACAGGGACCAAATCTGATTTTGTATGATTTGCGCTGCTGTCCTCCATGCAGCTCCTGCATGAGCTTGCAAACATGTGGCAGCTAACCCGAGTTGAAGATAGCTGTGTGGATGTGGCTCTTTATTCGTGCAATGAGACGTCTATACCCGCGAGTGCTGGTGCTTGCCGTGAGGGATCCCTGTTATGACCTTTACATTCTCCCTATATGAAAATTCCCCAAGCCCTTTCCGGATGGCCAAGTCAGGCGACCACGGTGGGAGCCTGAATGATTGCCAGCACCATGCCCTAAGAACCTTTACACAAATTTGCTAGAATATATTTTTATGCCCTTTTCTACTCGGTTGGTGTTTGGCAAGGCCACGACTCACTCTGCGCGGCGCCCCTAAAGAGCAGTGACCTCAGCGGATCTTCAGAGGGTCTCCTTTTCGGGTTACGGCAATTCTGGGTTTAATGGTTTAAGGTTTAGGGGGTTCAGAGTTGAGGGCATATGCTGCTGTGCCTAGGTTTCAGAGGTTCAGAGCTTCGTTTTCTGGACCATCTCCACACCTCCATGCAAAGCTTCGTGCAAATGTCATGCGCACGAAATGAGGGTCATAACGGGATTGCAGTTCTAGAGGCTTGGGTGGGGTCGTGGCCTTTGAGAAGCATGAGAAAGTCCGAGAGCATAGTGAAGTCGGGATGACCATGACTCTCATCCAGAGGGCGGGGCAGATTGTAGCTGGGACCCCAGATTCGAGACAAGGCTTCTATGACGCATTTCGCCTTGATTTAGGCATCATTCAGACATTCAGAAAGCTGACATTTTGATGTGGTGTCATATGGGCTGCAAGCAGGCCTTATAAGTATCAGTCATACTTTGTATACCCTAAGAGTTATGCAGGTTTTCGAGATCTTCCCTGGTGTGCAATTTCCTCCATTCGGAATGATCTTATCCTAAGCCCTCTACCACATGACCCTAATCTTCTGACCCTGAAGCCGAAACTATTTGTATATTTCCATTCGTAAGATACCATCCTGTCTCTTTTTGAGGAACACCTGATTGGAAGGACCCCTAGTGTTCAAAAGCCCCTTCTGACCACAGCCTGATCCGAAGCGGTCCTGAACCCTAAACGTCACGACCCCCAACCTGAAACTTCAAGCCACAGTCTGACCAAGACCTTAAGACTAGCTGCTAAATCGTGCTGCGGACTCCAAATCCTTACTTCAAGATCCCTAAGCCAGAATCCCCCAAACCCAATTTTCCCTACCCTATTAACCTAGACCCCAAGGCTTAAACCCTAAGCCCGAAGCGCTTACCTAGGGCAGTGAGTCCCAAGGCCTAAACTCCACTCCCAAACCCTGATCCTTGCATCCGGAACCCTGAGTCAACAGCCTACCCTCCAAGACGTCGACCCCAAGCCCCAGATCTGATCCAGAAGATATAATCCCTGAATCCGCAACTCCTGCCCCCTCAGCCCCTCAGCTACAGATTCCTTAGTTCCTAAGACTTAAACCCTACCGCTGGGCTTCAAACCCTGAATCTTTCTGGACTGCTCGCGGAGACAGGCGCGAGACACTATGATAACAGAAAGCAACAAGATCAATCCTGAAGCCCTAAATCTCAAACCCGAAGCTGTAGATCGTACACTTTTTAAAGGCCAAGCCTCCTTAAGCCCAAGTCATAAGCTCTAGATCTTCAACCCCCACAATCCCTAAACCCGTAGCTGTAAATCTGGTCCAGAGGATCTGGTCACGTTTATTTAAACCATTTTCCCCTCCACTCCAGACCCGTAACACCTCTTTCAATTCTGAACCCTGAGCCATCAACATTTGATCCCAAGGCGAGGAATCGACTGGGCAATCCATGTCCAACACTCCGCAGACGCGACCAAATCTGCCAGAAGATACAGGTTGCACT